ATAGATAGATAGATAGATAGATAGATAGATAGATAGATAGATAGATAACGTTTGACTGAAATTGAATGCGGTGTTAATGGATGATTTTCAGAATTTTCTGGAAAAATATTACACAGAGTGATATTTCCTTTGGACTCCATGACATGGAAGAAACCAGAGAATAATAAAGCCGTCCCACATAAACACACACACACCCTTGCAGGTGTTTAAAGGAGTTTCACCAGCTGTAAAGGTAATATTATATTGCCAGGAGCATTTTTACACAGATGATCACTGAAGAGTTCAGAAGTGATTGATGCTTCAGAGCCAGTGTAACACATGTTGGAGGATTCGAGGTTGAACTTTGACGATGGTGAATTATTTGTAAGCAGACTTTCTGTTGCATCTCAGTCCTTCTATGTCTCTCGTAAAGACATAAACTCTCGGTCTGTGGCTGACTCTGGCCACTTGCCAGAGGCGGTTGTGGTGCAGTCTGGATGCGTTTGAACATTTCAGAAAGTAACTCCCACACCCTGGGTCTAAAACAACTGCAGCACCAGCTCAAAAGAATTCCCATAATCATTTCTTTATTCTTTTACTTTTATATCTTTTTTATGTCCAAAGAAACACACATCGATGTGTCCTCGGTAACAAACTCTCCACGGGTTTTCTTCTCCTAAAAACAATAGGCATTCCACTTTTTTAGACAAGTAGTCAGGCCATGTGTGGTAGATGAGCTCTTTCACAGTAATAAGCAGTGTCTAAATTCAGAAGCAACGCTGACCCCACTGGTGACAAACCACCCGTTTGACTTATTTACATGTTTCTACTGCTTTTTCCAGCCGTATCATTGACCATAGACCTCATAGCTGCATGTTTAAAACACTTTAAAAACGCTAATACAAATGCAGAGCCTAAAATTATTCAATATATGTGTATAAACATAAATTAAACCTGGCATCTTATTCACAACACAATCTTCCAAAATGATCAACTCTCCAAGCCTCTCACATCTTTAATTGCAAACGTCTGTGTTTTCATAAATAGGTCCATGAAGATTTCAGTTGCTGTGTTATTTATCTTTGTCTAGTAATTTAAAATATCTGCAATGAAGTTGCATTTTTTTTCCAGAAGGCAATTATGCAGAATCATTTTGGTTCCATAATTGAGCAAAATTGCATTAAGAAATCTGAGCCTTTGATCACAAACCACTTGCGTGTCGCAGACTTAGTGAAAAGAGACAGCACCGTTCTGGAAAAGTTGTTGCCTCTCACACACTTCCTGGCAGAGTTCCACTGTGATTCAACGAAAATAAATGTTTTTAGACCTGAAAACTTTTCCAGACCTGAAACATTCACTCCAGTCTGCTACAATAAACGAGGCTTTGGCTTAATGGCCTCGGAAAGTTTTGCTCATGAGAATGACATCATTGACATTACTGTGAACTGCCACCATTAAAAACATCCAGTTCAGCACCATGTGATGCCACTTAGGCAAAGGCACTTAAAAGAGCCGTGACTGGATCCCCTGCCAAAGCAACCCAACAGGAAGACAAGCGAACAATATAAAGGGAATTCGTTAAGTCACCGGGATCCATCCATCATGGTCAGCAATGACCATAACTGTGTTTCAGTCTGTATCGAAACTATTTGAACAATATTCTACTTTTCATTGTTCATAGCGGAGGCTGCCGTTTCCTTTCTGGATTTTGTCTTCGCCTTCAGGAGGAAGTCAGTGCGCAATGCACGAGGAAGCACTTTCGCCATTTACTTTCCGTACCAGTGCTGTACACATTCACAGGTTCTTTAGATTCAGCACCGCCTGACATGAAACTTTCCACTAGAAAATACACCACACTATTTTTGTTCGTCATACTCGGGAAATGCTTTGCGTTTTACGTTGTGGTTTATGCAAATCTTGTGGTACCGATTACTCAAAAAACTCTACCTAAACGCCTTATGTCTGTTTGACTCTTCTCTAGGTTGGCCCAGCAGTTATTTTGGGGTAAACTCGCTTTGCCCTAATTGGTTAGGTGGCCTACCAATGAGTAAATGGAGTAATAGCTGTAGCCCTCATTTGCTTGTGTGGTTACAAAGAACAGAATTTAAATGCAGGTCTGAACCAGAGCTTGACTTTGTACACGTAAATATGTTAAACAGGGGAGCATGGTGGTGTGGTGGTTAGTACCGTCGCCTCACAGCAAGATTCTGGGTTTGAGTCCCCGGGGGAACCAGGACTTTTATGTGTGGAGTCTGAATGTTCTCGCCGGGTTCTCCAGCTTCTTCCCACTGTCCAAAAACCTGCTTGTTATGTTGATTGGACACTCCAAACTGCCCTTAGGAGTGAGTGTGAGTGTGTGTGGTTGTTGGTCCTTGCGTGTCTCTGTGTGGCCCTGCAATGGACTGGTGGACTGTCCAGGGTGACCCCGCCTCCTGCCCATTGACCACTGGGATAGGCTCCAGTCCTCCCCGCAACCCCATTAGGGAATAAGGGGTAACGATAATGGATGGATGGATATGTTAAACAAAAGGCATGTTTAAAAGTATTTATGCTACCATTATGAAATTTCTCTCATTGTGACTGTTCATGTCTTACATGTGTGCTTTACAAAACAACCAGATTTTTTGTTTCTATTTGGTTAGAGCACCGCCACACACATGAACTCACCACCACAAT